CGCGCCCCGCGGGGGGCCCGGCCCCGCCGAGGGACCCGGACCCGCTCGGCACTGCCCGGCGGGGGCTGCCCGAGCCGGGGGCTGCCCGAGGAGGAGGCCCAGGGGAGGGGTCGGGTCCCGCTGGGCGCTGGCCCCGCGGTGCCGCTTACCTGGGGCCGAGGCCGTGGCCAGCAGGGCGGCCAGCGCCGTAGCCAGGAGGCGCATGGCCCGCGGGGCGCCGCGTCCCGTCCGTCCCCCTCTGCCGAGCTGCCTCCCTCCTCTCCTCCCCGGCCTCTCGCCTCCTCCCCGCCCGGTCCTCCCTTCTCCCCTTGCTTTTCATCTCCTCCCCTTTCTCCTCCTTTTTTCTTTTTTTTTTTTTTTTTCCGCTTTCTTCCTTCCCTCCCTACTCCTTCGCGTTGCCCAGCGTCCTGCCCCCCTTCAACTCCGCTTCTTCTCGCCCTGTCGTTTCTGTGCACACCATGCCTGTAGGGTGGCATTAGGGCTAGACAGGGATGCTCCATCTCTATCTTCCGCGATCCTCTCTGCGCGCACACGCACCCTTGCCCAAAGGACGCGGGTCTGTGTCGATGGGAAATGAGAAACTCCCTCCCTCCCTGAGTACAGAAAACCTCTGTACGAGCAGGTGAGGCAGCCCGGCAGCTGGAGGCTGTGGGGTAGGTTGCTGGCATGCGGAAGGCTGTATTAGGCATCCTCTCAGGTGTCCTGGATGTGTTGGCAATTTTGAAGGTCCTCATGCCCATTCCACTTATCCCATTCCATAACTAGAACAGGACCACCATTCCCTGGCAGTTCTAGTTAACATTATCTCCCATCCCGTGGGTTCAGGTGGTGGCAGCCTGGGGACAAGGAGGTCTGGCAGACAGGAGTAGCCCATCAGCAGGCATGGGGATGAATGCTGTCGGCATTTAGGACACCTGTGCCAAGACATTGCATACAGCGCTCTGATGTTTGCCCTCTGCTGTGACAGCACCTACTGATCACTGACAATCAACCTCTAAAACCATCCTGAATTAACTGATATAGTAGCTTAAGGTGCATCACCCCAAGGTTACTGTCCTTGTCTTCACAAGTGGTACTACAGTGCTAGGCCAGAATGGACAAGGGAAGTTGGCACCTTGCAGTCCATTCCTGCCTTTCCCCTGTGCTACTTCTGAGGTGTTTATCACTTGAAATCACTACAAATCTCCCCAGAAATTGGTTTAATACTTCTGCCAACAGGTATGATGGGTTATATATTCAGGTTGCATGAAGTATGGATGATACAAACACATTGGCATTCCTGCTTCCCTGGATAGGGCAATTAGTACAGATGTAACTACTCCACCCCTCTCTTAGTAATCACTTAGACAGGATAATACATGTCTGCTTTTAAGCATCACAGATAATTTAGCATGTGCTAAATCTGATTCTTATGAGACTGAAAACTGCCTTTAAAATCTTGTAATTTGCTTCCTCCAGGGAGAGACTTTTGTGTCCACGCAGCAAACACTTCTCACAAGAGAGTGACAGGTCTGGATTATGCACAGAGTGATCAGCAGACTTGAGGAAGCAGAAGAAGTTTCTAAAATTTATACTGCCTGTGGAGGTAATTAAAATTTGTAGATTCAAATCTACTCCTTTAACACAGCAAAGTGAAATCGTATCAAAATTAGCTAATTCAAAAACAAACAGACAAACTCACCAAAAACATTCTACCAGCAATTATGTAATTCGATGGTCCTGATGCAAACTCCATTTCAGTAAGTCCTTGGACAGCTATAAGAGAGGAAACCAGGGATGACTGATTTTGCTTACCCTTATTCTTATTCTTAAAGGGATATTTATTCTAAATTTCCAAAGGTTACTTTTAAAAGTGGTCTAGGCTGAAACTCTTTTTTACTTGTCATTGCATAAATGAGCTCAGGTGATTCTGCCCTTTTAGGTTTTTTGCTAAGGGAGAGCTTTTCTTTGCACAGCTAGAACAGGACCTGTAGATCTGTGTACAGGTCTCTCTCTTGTTCTCTCTGAATTGTACTGACAGCAGCACTCATCAGGCAACCCAACACCTAACACACCTGAGTAAATCTACACTGTGCCAACCTCTTAGGATATACTCGTGGGCCAGACAGCACTAGTCAGGCTAGTGAGCTGTGGACAAACATAAACTTCTGACCTCCTATCTTCCCAGGCTTGATGCTGATTTGTTGGATGACTTTTTATAAATCAGTTCTCACCTCTGGGCTGCAGGTGGGTGAAATGCAACCTTCCTTTGTCCCTCTGTTGGAAGGGTTTGCTACTGGAACTGGGGCAACCAGCATGAAAGGTGGCAATTGTATGATTTGTCTTTCTTTGCTCTTAAAATCTTACATGCCTTCCACCCATTTGTTGCTGCTGAGATGTTTCTGCTTTTGTAAAATGTTTTTTCAAGATTTTTGATATCTCTTACCTGATACCATCATAGTTTACCCATGCACCAAAAATCCCAAAGGTCAGATGAACATGCAGTACAGTTTTACATGCAATACTTTTTCCCCACCAGGCACAGCTCTCTCTGTAAGACAGTGTACCTCCCTTTGCTGCTCTGGAAGTGTGCTGACGCACGCGAGTGGAGCCTCTGACCCGCAGGATATGGCTTTCTCAGCTCTGGCAGCACGTATGTGGCCTCGTTTCCTGCTGAATGGGTCTGCTCTGAGGAGAAAAAGTGCTTAATCAGCACTCCTGTGCAGCTGACACAGCACAGACTGACTGTTTGCAGAGCCTGGAGCCCCTCTCTCCCCGGGGCAGTGTTATTGAAATCATCAGCTTTAGCCGCTCGGGGTGAGACCTGCTGTGCAAATCCTCTTTGCCTCTCTGCAAAGTCACATCTGTCAGGAGAGGTAACCATAGCCTCTTGGCTTTTGCTGTCCTGTCCTCCCTCTCTTGTTCTTAGCCTGCTTTCTTTCTTTGAAAGGTCTTACTTGCATTCCCAAATGTGTCTCCAGAATGTGCTGCAGGATTCTGTGAGCAGGACTGTGGCTTGCCCTTACAGTAGTGTTGCAGTGTGGCAGAGGGACATGGTGCAACTCACACTGGGCTGCTTTGGCTGGGCTCTAGCATGGAAAAAAGGTTTTCTAAAGGCTGCAGCTCTCACCATGTGTTGATGGGCTGGGGTGGGCTGCCTGCTCTCATACCCAATATGCTGTTAGGGAGAGCTATGCATGTTCTGAGTGATGTATGGGAGTTTGCTCCCCACCTGCAGCAATAAACTGTCTCTGAACTTTTCATCTTTCACCTGGGCATCTTCTTTCAGGGCAACTACAGCTTATCACCCTTCCACATCTCATGCAGGCAGTGTGCAAAGATGCTCTCTGCCTGTCTGGAACCTACCATCAGATACATTAATTATGGCCGGGTCTTTTTCAGAATCCAGTAGTTGGTAGCTCCCATGGCCCAAGGAATCCTAATTAATAATGAATGTTCAGTGATCAGAGATGGATAAGATCCAAACTGATTCAATGCTGCCAAGCATGAAAGGTGTTTGTACCTGTATCCAGACTTTCCTATTCCTTTAATGGGCCAAGTTACCTTGCAACTGTATCAATCCAGAACTTCTGAACAAAGTGGAAAACCATGCTACTGTTATTTTTCTATGGTTATTTGGTGGATCAGCATGTGGAAAATACTGTTTTGTGAACCCAGCTTCTTGTCAACAGAAAAAACATTATGTAAGAGCTTCAAAATTATAAGCATCATGCTTTTTAGCTGTCAGAACATCATGCAATGTTTACATGGTGTTTGGGGCTTTGATCTTATTTTTTCTTCTGGCCATTTATTTCTCATTGATTGGAAAATATCTAGATGGATAGGTTGATGTTGTTAACTGCAGATTTCCTTACCCCTGTGTCAGGTGTCCTTTCATTCCCTTTTCCTTTTTTCTTTCAGCAACTTCATCAGGGATCAGGGATCATTTCAGAATGAATGATACTGATGTATCTGGGAAGGATCTGAGGTTTTGTGGCTGTTGTGCAGCCACACTTTCATGGAGAAGTTAAATCCTTACTATTGATGCTGTAATGTATTTTTCATTTTCTTTCTTCAAATAAGAGCTCATTTCACTTTGGTACAGAAAACTTGCTTTTGTTATTACTTTTATGGTTATGTTTGGGACTGACAAAAGCACAGGGGATTTAGTATGTTTTTCTTAGCTTTTGCTTCAAGTTTGATCCTCCCAATTCTCAGGGCACTGCTAATCCTGAGAAAAAATGAGACCTGTAGGTGTTTTGCAAAGGTGCTTAGAGGCTCTGTCACATATACTTCGTTCTGTCACATATACTTCCTCCATAGTTAGGTGTGTGCAAGAGTTGAAGAGTCTTACATGATTGTCATGTACAAAGACACAGCTCCAGCTTCATATAGTTGTATATAGCAGTGTCAGCTTCATCAAGTGGCAGTGTCATTTGGGAATGATTAAAAAGTCCATTGCTGCTCCAGTTCTGTTCTCCAGAAATATTAAAATATCAATTTTAGCTGACCATATTTCTGGCAGTTGGTGAACAAATGTCATGATAAGATGGATTTCAAAGGCTTTTCAGTGCATTGGTATGTTCTGGCTATGCATTCTCATTAGGCACCTGTCCTAGTTAGAACATTACTGACAGGACTGCAAGCTACCCCTGTGAGGCTGCTGATCCTACTCTGCTCAGCTCAGAAAGAGCACGGACTCCAGAACCACACAGTCAGTGAGAGCTGACCTGACAATGCACTGTGATATCTCCTGTTCTGACTTGCCTTCCTCCCCAAATAAGTATTGCACACAGGTTTGGGGAAGGACAAGTCTCTGAAAGACTGTGGGATATGGTTTATCTCTGAAGTCACATGTTTGATGTAATTCAATCTATGCTTTCTACACAACCTGTGCTGGCACCGTATTTTATATGGACTTTGTGTCCATAATTTGTCTCCAGACCTTCTTTCTAAGGGACTGACTGATCTAAAGATGACTCTACTGAAACAAAGCAATGATCCTTCTGGTTCAGTGCCCTTTTTCTGACTGTAGCTGGAATAAACAAATACTTAAGGGCAGGGCAAAAACACAGTACTGTATTCCCAGGAGACTTTTCCAGCTTCACATGGTTTGCAGCGTGTGCTGTCTCAGCAAGATATGTCAGAGCCTCACTGATCAGACCCAACCACTCAATGTGCTTCTCTGTCACTTAGCTCTGTGCTGAGGAGACAGAAGTTTTCCAGTGCATCCCTCCTCTGTGGACAGGGTGGCTGTGTGGC